TTGCCTTCCATTTCTTGCAAGACAAAGTTTTGCTGTTTTGATGAAGTTTAAGGAGCGTTGTCCATTGTGACTTTAGGCTATACTAAAGTAAAGATTTTGGTAAATCCTCTTGCATAATAAACACCCAGCCAGCATAATTTTGCTGGCACAATTTCAGAACACCTTGTTCATATAGTGAACCAGAACCACCTACCTGAAGCTGTTCATGTTCTTCCATAAGACGGTCATATTCTCTTTTAAGGCTTTCAGACTGCTTTTTAACTGCTGTCAGTTCATTAGTTACCCTGAGGTGAGCTGTAAAAATATCAAAATTTGTGTTTTAATTATTACTTGTACTCCTGCAGGTCCTCAGAGCCCTAGTCACGTATTAGGGCTCCACTGTACTAGACAGCCCATCTTCTAAGAAAGTTTAAAACAGAGCATCACAGACGGACACAAGAAGAGATGAGGGGCAGGAAAGGGAAGGATGTGTTGTGATGTATTCAGGAACAGCAGCACAAGAAGCAGGAAGGGGCTGTGGAAAAGGTAAGGGAAAGACCAATAAACTGCTGTTTGGAGGTAACGAATTGTGACAGTGCGGTCGTCTGCCACATCAGAGGACAGCTCCAGAAAACCAAAACACCACAACCCTAAAACCAAAATCTGTCAACCTTCTTTTAAAAGGAAGATAAAACTCAAACATTGAGCAGTATTTTAATCAAAGCAGCTGTGTCTATCAAATAAAAAAAAAAGAAAATATATTATTACAGGTGTGTAGTCCCCTTTTCCCACCCTTCTGTATATTTTACCATGCTTGAGATCATTCATTAGAAGCATCATTTTATGAATGAGAAGGCAGAAGGGGGAAGGGGGCGTTAGACAACCCTAAACAGGCTTTTAGCAAGTAATTGCTGAAGGATTCTGAAAGCATTCCTTCTCCACTACCAATCTAAATAGTAATAAACTGAAAGTAAGTCTATGTTGCAGTACAGAATAGCCCAGGACTCTGCAGGGGCTAATTTACAAGGCAGGGTAAATCAGCATAAAGCTTCATAAAGGCTTTTACTCCTAAACTGTTATGCAAGCATTTGAGTAAGGTCATTCAGATATCTTTATATTCCTCTGCTATAGGTATTTCAGGTATCTTTCCATGCCTCTGCTGTAGCAGCACAGACATACCCTAAAACTTGATTTACTCCTGCTACAACAGAGAAACGTTGTTAATGACCTATAAGGCTGCCTCACATAGCCGCATTTTAAAAACAATCTCAGTAGTAGTACAAATGGAAAAAAAAAAAATAGTAGCATCTGCTTTCCCTTGTGCCAACAATGTGACTGCAAGCTCCGAGAATGACTGCTCTTTCCCAGAGACATCTGGGGTATTCAAGAACTACAGCACATTTGTTAAGAGAATCTGTTCTCAGAAGATGAGAAACTAGATTTTTTTTTTTTTTTTCTTAATCTCCTAGCTACAGCCATGCTGGTCTGAACTGTATTTCACTTCGGGAGCTTGTTCGCAAGTCCTAGTTCCTGAGACTCCAGGATGCAGAGCTCCTGAATGCCCTCCTACATGCAAAAAGGAAGGCTCCCCCCTCCAGTATTTCTGCTATTCATCCCATTTTTTCCTCTTTTATTAACTTGAATGTCTAGATTTAAATCATTCTTGTTTTAAAAGCCTGCAAGTGGTCTTCCAGCAATATGACATTACCTAGGCAGAAATTCTGATCTGCTGAAATTAGTCAGTCCTGTTGACTCCAATGCGGTCAAAAATTCATCCTGCCTCTCCACAGTTGTTCTTTCTCTCCCTTACTCTTACACAGATATCCTCTGTCCTAATAATGCAATCTTGACAGCATCGATGCAAGAACTTTCTCCAAGGGAAACTCCACACATCTGACAAGTTGAACCCCATTGCATTTACTCCCTTCCTTCCTAATCATCTCTCTCCTCTTGCTGTCGTCTAAAATAAGCTACACACTGTAAAGACCATAAAAAAATCTATAGCTTATCAAACTTTATTTAAGCTGTAGATGAAAAACATGCATATGTCATTTTGCCTCTCCAGTGATCTGCTCACTAGAAAACTAAATCTTGCCCTTTTATTTAATCATTCTTGTCCATAGTTATAGTGAAAATTAACAGTAACACATTTCTGAAGAAATCATAATTCAATGTCATTGATCTAATACTATTTGGCTGTTTCACAAGCAGCGGCATACTACTGTTGCAACTAAAAACAACCATACCTCTAAAACACGAGCAAAATATCTAAAGGTCTCTGCAGATCAAGAAAGTACACTACCCACCACGTTGTTTCAATGTTTTGAGCAAAACAGATATATGACAGGAACACCCCACCCAACCCTAGAAGGCCAAAAAAAAAAAAAAAAAAAAAAAAAAAGCAAAGACCAGATTGTCCTCCACTGGCGGACGAGAAAACCAACCTCATTCCTGTTGGGGCCACACAAAAAGGAGTGTCACATCTTTGACAGCATGAGTTCCCCAGCATGCCAGCTTCTCTGGATGTCTTGTCAAACCAATGGAGACTGTCCGTACATTGCTGTTCACCTATGTTGGCACTCCATGAATAGTGTAACACAGCCAAATCAATCGTACAAGTACATTCTTTTTGTCATATGGATTACACCATATAAACACTTAACCAGCAAAAAATAGAAAATACTCTGTGTGCATAGTACAGTCCTCTTTTTTTCCCCCCTAGCTTCCACCCGGCTTGTTAACTTTGCCTCATGGAGACAGAACAGCTGCTCTGGCAGCAAGCAAAACCCAACAGCTGACCATTCCTACCAAAGAAATGCATGAGCAGCCATCAGATGAGAGATGCTGCTTCCATGGTAATGCAAATAATGGAAGAAATAGCTGATAATTCCCCAGGCTGGAATCGAGCCCCAATACTGTGACAGATGGACCATCCTTTTTCAACCCTCTCCCCTCTTAAAGAAAAGCAAAGAAAAATTCTTAAGTCAGTGTAACAACTGAAGACATTTACGGAAAACTTTATTCCTTTACACTTAAGCATGTGACTACAACTCCATAAACTAATATAACATGTAGAGTCAGGGAGAAATACAGAACGTGCTTCTCCCTTACCACATTCTCTGTGCCCTGCTCGAAGATAAATAGCTTACTTCTGAGATTGCATTCCTCTGAAGCTGAGGCAAGACGAGGAATACAATTGAAGAGGTTACCACCGACCAGCAGCTATAGCAATTCTATCATCTCATTTCAGCAAGGACAGAGAACAGAACAGTAGAAAAAAATTACACAGTGATTCTTCAGACATTCTGCTGCACATCTACCAGTTTTTGGCTGGCTAAATCATCTGACTTACAGCGCTTGCTGCTAAGTAAATCTGGCATGGTCTGGAACTCAAAATTAGCATGGCTCACAATACAACTTCTAAAACTCTGATGATTTAGACTGCTTTAAGACTATGAAAAGTCCCCCTCCTTTGAGGGTCTTCAAGCTCTTACAAAGTTGAGAAAGGGCTATTCAAGTTAAGAAGTTAGGTATAGATGGGGGAAGAGATTCACCTTAGGCAGCCAACAAATATGGTGTAAAGCTGGGAACGCAACTCCAGTCAGTTAATTCTAGACTAATTCTGAATTCAGTCCTTAAGATATAACAGTCAGATACATTTTAAAAAAAAGAATGCAAGGCCAGAAAATTACACAAAGTTGCTCCAAGTAACTTAATCTCAAGTGAGACATCATTACAAAGGGATTTTACAGCATGCTTAAGATGCTTAAGGGCCTTGTGTAACAAAATCTTTCTTGCTATATAGAACGTAACCCCTTTTAACAAATAGGAATATCAACTTCTGTTGTAGGTAACATTGTGCAATGGCTCCCATCATGGTTATCACCTAGCAGTTAAAAAGCAAAGTTAAGAAAGATGGACTTTGGTTCTAAACCTCCCTCTGTCATTAGCTCAACAACATGACACCTTGGCCATTCATTTAGCTGACTTGTATCTCACACTCCCAGCTTACAAAAGAAAGCTGATAGAGGTTGAGGGGTTTTTTGTTTGCTTGTTTTTCCCTTTTTTAAACAACTGGAGTGCTTCTATGGAACTCAACATAAGTACAGTTTCCATACGTGTCACTAGCTTGCCCATGAACACAAAGGCCCAACTGAACTCTCACAGGTGGCAACAGTTCTATGAAATGTATTCACAATGTCTGTATGGTTTGTATCTTCTCAATACTTAATAATCTTAGGGTTTTAAGTGACAGTTGCACATCTGCACACGCATACCTTCCAGAGTAGTCAACAACTAAAAGCTGCACCAAAACCAGCCCTCCACACCAACTGCTGTCTCCTACCCTGCTATGCAACTATGAAACAAAAACCACTGGCGTGCCAAATTCCGTACACAAAACAAACCAGACTAAAGCATGCAGGAAGTTTCATCAGAATTTTCTCCTGTGCTATTGTAAGCCTAGGAGAACAAAACATATTAATAAAGATTTTTTTCAAAAAGAGCTGGACTACAGTTCAAAAGCACTTAAATGACTTTTGATGATTTAGTACAAGTACAGAGAGTGAAATGCTAATGGCAGAAACAAAGAAACGTTATCTTCAACTTCTTCTCAGTGCGGCATGACAGACTCAGCTCAAAGATGCAGTAAGGTCACAGCTCAGTAACTGCACACAGGTGCTGGGGACCACAATGCCCATTATATGATATAGATATAAGTGAAAACTTTTGATGCACATCATTTACCATGACATGCTATTAGAAGAGTCAGTGGTCAATTAGCTGGACAGGAGTTTGCCAACAGTCTGTTCTGGTGCAATACTTGTTGTTCTGTATAAATTTCTGTTGTGTAAATAAAGCTGTAGCTTTTACCGTACACTTGCACAGCGCCAGCAAAAAGATGACCCAAGATAGCAAGAAAGTGAGACAGTACAGGGTTGCAGAAGCCTCCCTCTGCCCAAAGGGTCCCATAATAACAGACAGACATTTCACCCATCAACATTTGCAGTGTGGGATCTGTGAGTGAGAAGAGAAAGTTAACGGCACTGAAAAGTTTTTCTTCTCTCCCTCTCCCCCGATCCCAAAACCGTAAGGATAGCTGCTTTATGAAACTTCTCTTGGACTCTGACCTCTTCTCCAGCTGCAGATGGATTGCTTTGTTGTATGTTTTTGGATAACTTCCAAAGTTACCAAAATGAAACAGAGGAACGTACAAATACTTACAGTTATGACATTTTTCACAATTAGCATTTTGCGTAATTAAAAACTGTGGAATCAGCACATTTTCCAGAAAAAAAACAAAAACAAAAAACAAAACTGCTGCAAATCTGAATTACAGTTGCTTACCACCACCACCACGTCACCTTTTCTTTACCCAGAAAAAAAATCCCGTAAGCCTGACAGAAGCCACATTGACAGCCTTTAATTGCTTTAGTCATCAACTTTTTGTCAGAGATGTATTTAACATGCAGCGCGAGAAATATTTTCTCGCCTCTGCACCGAGGCCTACTAAATCCTAAGAGTACTCATATTTATTCCTAGACACCAGCGAGACATTTTTCATAATACATGTGTATCAATAAAATGCCATCTCAGAAGTTTCTCAAAAGTCATGTTATTACATGTCCAGGTATGCTAAAAATGGATTTAGGCTCTGAAACTGCTTGCCACTGCTGGGTGCCTATAAAGCCCCCAGTATGTGAGTCTGCAATAAAGGAGGGGAAAAAAAGCCCCCTTTCCTTCACTTCCTCAAAGTGAAAAAGGGCCTCAATGAGGATAGGAAAAATCAAGTCTGAAAATAAAATTTATTTGGCTGAAACCTCTGTCACATCATTTCCAATCTTTCCTCAGATTTTAGTAATTTCACTACTCATAGTCTTTTTCTCCCTTGTCTTGTTTTTCCATTCTTCCTCTGCACCCACTCAAAACACAGTAAGTAGCAAAATATCTTCCTAACTTACTTATGTTTAATTAGATAAAAAGGTAAAGTAGATTGTAGTTTCCACCTGAAAGGTAGAAAGCTGAAGAACTACAGATGAATCTCCTGAAAGTCTGTAGTAATCACTGTCTATGTTATAATTGCAGTCAGAAAATACAGGAAGAGGACATATGCAGTATTTTCTCTGCTGGAAGTAGTAAATACTACATCAAAACCTTAAAAAAAAAATTCAGCTCTCCCCTAAAGTCAACGCACTGATCGGATATTAAACTGAGGTACTGATAGTTGAAGTAAACTTACATTTAGGATTCCTTCTGAGAGCCACTCTATTGAGATACCCCTCTTTTCACCCTACCACCACACATCAGTAGGTTTACAAACATGCCAGACCAGAGCAAAGGGTATTTGAAACTGCTTGATGCAGAAGATCAGAGATTTTTTTTTATTGAAACAGCAAAAAACCAAACCGGCTCTTAATGATGTTATAGCCAAAAAAAAAAAAGGCAAGATTTTTCCCATATCAGTTTTGTTTTGTTTGATAGCTAGATGACACCCATCCACTCCTCAAGAAACAACAAACAACCCCAAAACAAAACAAAAAACCGAAACACTTCCTCCTAAAACTTCAGGGATATGACGACTTTGTGGGCACAAAAGAAAGATAACTTCAGTCACATGAACTCAGTGGCACGCAACAAACTGAAAAGTTTGTCTTACCTCTTTTTAATCTCAACTTTGATTTTGGGTAATGCATTACCCATACTTAGTGAGCAGGAAACAATGTTTACCTGCTGAGTTGCAGAAGCTTCGAAAGAAACCAGTAAGTTCAATTTACATGAAACCTGTAACTCTCCATAGACAGCTGTGTCTAAAGAAGCATTTATTATCAAGTACTTCAAGCTTGTTGGTTACTGGTTGCCTCAAAATAAAGTGTAAGAAAAGCTACAAAAACATAAGACAGACATACTGTAACACTATTTAGCTGATGGCGGCAATTAATGTAACCACAGAGTTTTATTTTGGGGGGCGGGGAGAAGGGTTAAAATATTTTCAGACTCATTCCTTAAAAAGACCCTCTCCTCCACTTTTCCCCCTAACAAAAGACTGAAGCATGCCTTAATTTTACACCTTTCGGGAGGACAACAGCCTGCAAGAAGAATGCAGCTGAAACAGCATGTGGTAAATCTATTTATTCCTTAGCTTTCTATAGCATTCCTGACTGAAAAGCTTACATTATATTAATGTTACATACCGCCAGTTAGTTTAAATAAAACATATGCATTTATATTTCTCATTGATCCTGTCACTTCAAAGGCAGCTTTCTTCCCTTTCTTTAAGGAAACAGCAGGAGAGGGGAAAACCCACAATCAAACCTGCCTGGGAATGTGAATTAATGAGCCCCTCCATTGAAAGATTCCTGTTGCTTCAAGCCCAGCTGAAAACAGCTGTTCTGCAGTTCTTGTTTGTCTTCCCAGTGGACAATGAAAAATGATTCATAAAATATTTGGAGTTGCTATACTTACAGCTTTGTAGCAGGGCTATGTAATATAAAAGTATTACTGTGTTCTGATGACAATACGCTATGCACTACCATGAAAAAATATATTTTGTAATAGCCTGATTAATGCTTACAAGGTCATAAGCAGTGTTATCTTAAAAACATTAATTTCAGATGCGCAGGTGTTCAGAAGCATCACAGACCTGGCAGTTCCAAATAGGACAAAACCAAACAGGTAAAATCCGCTTCTATTTCAGTTTCGATTCCTAAGAAAGCAGCTTTGACAACCTAAACCTTAAACACAGAAATTGCTAGCGAAAGCGTCATGATACAAACCGCAAGGAACATTTCCTAATAGACTTTTAAAAAAAAAAAAAAAAGAGAGAAGAAAAGGCTAACACCTTTGTTGTAGGGGAGACAAATTTAGAACACTGGTCAAGGACTTACCTGCTACCTAACTTAAAAGCCACATTATACAAAAACGCTTCAACCATTTATTTCCCCTTTTTACACAGGGAGATTGCCTGTTACATATTACAGGAAAGATCAGTTCGATGCCTTCAGTAATGAGCAATTGATACCTTATCCAGCATATCATTGATGAAGACAAGTCAACACCACTTAAATATAGCAGTTCAATTTATGAATAGTTATAATTATGGTGCTCAAATTACAACATATAATGGAATGTTTCATAATGGAAACATTTACTAAAAGATAGCAATGGTATGTTTTAAAGCTCCTGGTCAAATGGAAAAAAAAAAAAAAAAACAACACAACCCCAAACCAAGTATTCCACAAACTGATGAAGTTAGTTAATGCTACACCTAGATACATTTTTTTTTTTTACCTGCAGTTGAAATTATCTTTTTCGTAATTGCAAAAAGAGTTGAAATTATCTTTTTCGTAATTGCAAAAAGAGTCCTAACAATATTTACCATATGATGACTTCCGTAACTCTGCTTTCAAATGTTCAATTTCTTTCTTTAGTTTTTCATTGGTTGCTTCCGCTGACTCTTTCTTTTTACTGCTCCCTTTTTCTTTCCAGGCCTATTAAAAAACACAGTTACTACAGTTAATTTTAGTTTAGTTAGATTAAGACATTAATAACAAAAAAATAGAGAATATTAGCTTTGATCTTGCAAAGTGACAGGTTTTATCAAATGCCAACAGAACAGGCAGGTATTCAGTCATCCTAGAAAAACAGAAAAAAAAAATTGGGAAAAACATAGGCTCAATGTTTTAAGTTGATATCAAGTGTTGTAACAGCATGCATAAGAGTATATGATATCTCTGAATCAAACCCACAACTTCTATTTAATCTATAAATGGCTTTTTGAAACACATATACTGGGACTGCAAGTGAAAGGACCCCACCGTGTTCACGTGTAACTTGTTTTAATAATTAAACTATCCTTATCTAAACTGTGCAATTAGAAATCTCTCCTTGCAGGTTTGTAGGGTTTGTAGCTACTTCGTTAATCTTTAGAATACCTTGATACCCTAACTAGATATCCATTGAAATTCAAGAAAAACTAAGAAAGCATTCAAGAGTAACCCTGTAAATACCAGATACGAGAGCAGTGTGCTTACCATACTCTGAAATTGTCGGTACTATTATACTTACTATGCATGCTCTTATCTTTAAGGTAATTACTATTTGATGACTTACAAGTATCTTTTATTAAGGATTAGACCCTCTGCTCCTACATCTTCCACTAGCCAACCAAGCATTATCCCTGTTATGGAAAAAGCAAGAAGTGGTAAATGTTTGGGGGGGGGGGAGAAGAAGAAAAGCAGAAGAACTGAGATGAACACCTGTCAGGTGAACTCATGATATCAAGAAGAGATCATCAGGCATGGGTGGAGGCAGAAGGAAAGAAAAAAAGAACAAAAACTGTTGATAAATCTTGGCAAACAATCCAAAGAAAAGAGCTGAAGAGAAGTTTCCAGATGCAATTCAACCCAAGAGCAGAGATTGCATTAGACTGCTGGTAACAAAACTGTAGCCAGTTTGTCATGAAATAAAGCTACAGGGGCCTCATACAGAAACCTTTACTTCTGTTCTCACCTCTTTCTACCGATACACAAATAGTTATTTCTATTAACTTCTACCTCAAGTCCTGTGCTCCCTGTTAACCATCCGATAGGGACCAGCCCAGACTTCACACTCTAGGACAAATGCATAGTATTTACACTAGCAGATTATAAATGTTGTCCTAAAAGCAATTGCTCTTACCTCTCTCTGGCGGTGGAATGAGCGTTTGTAAAGAAAGAAATGCAGGGGCCAAGCCATGGAGAATCCCAAGTCATAATATCCCCTATAATGCTATAATAAACTAATTCTGAACACTCTGCATCTTGAGCAGGATAGAGATCTACCTGCAGCATGCCAGCTGGACCGGCGGATACCATATTTTTTTAAAAAAAACATGTAATCAAAAACAAATAGAAACCAGGACAGGAAGGCTATATTCCACTTTCTGGCTATCAATTATAAGCAACTAAGAGACCATATCACCAGGGAAAAACACACCTGAGAGCGAAAGCAGCAAAAAAAGATGACTTTCAGCCGAATCGCAGCTGGACAGAGAAAAAGCATACCAGGTTGCAGTAGAGACAGACAGACTCCATGGCTGAGGCTGGGAGTCTGTATCGTTTTGACAAAATACCAAATTCCAAAAATTCAGAATTATTGCATACTTTGAAGAATACCTAAAAACATACTCCACCAACCCTCATCTTAAAAGATCTCTCTCAAACAACAGATTCTTTTGCATCCCTTCTAGTATTTTTTGCTCAGAGTCTGTTCTCACCAACTGCAGATTTGTTACTAAAAAAAAAAAAAAAAAAACATTATGGTGCTAGTAACCACAGACACTGCTGCAGACAGGATGGAAGGAAACCTGGACATACCTCCAGTAAATTTTGTTTTGACAATATGCTGTAGTGAACAGTCCTGTAAGAGTCTTCACGCACTGGCTATCTGCACTTTAGCTTATGGTTCAATTGCTTCCAACAGAAGCCAAACTAACCAATGATGAGAAAAGACTTCTTTGCTCATTTCCCTTCTCTCATACAACTGTACCTTGAGCCACAGAAAAATGATAATTTTCTCCAATCCTTTCATAAAAATAACACGTCTTTGGTCCAGTGGTGGTTCTATATTTAAGTAAGATGTTTTTGGCAATATCCTCACAAACATCATAGCAGTACCTTACTGGGACAGAGAAAGTCTAGCTAGGTAGTTGGCTGACCCACTATAAAAATAAATAAATACAAAGACCAATTTTATTAGTTAGAAAAGACACTTCAGGACTGGAGCAAGTCCTTTCTATAAGGAACAGCCAGCAGCAGAGCTGCTGTACTGCAATAGCCCACAGTGGACTGCAATAGCCCAGACCTAAACAGCCAACTGTTCAGCCAACTGAGAAAGATTTAAGATTAGTGTCTTGCTACACTTTGCTAAGATTGAATTCAAAGAAATATTTTAACTAAATATGAGTATTTCAATGACATTTATATTAGAAAGACAGAACTTCCTTCATTTATTTGGATTAGTTTTCTTTATTAATAAAGATGCCACTGAAATTTTTATTCAGCATTCTGAAATATAAAACTGTAAGGAAACCCCTCTCCCCGCTAAGCCCCAAAACATTTGGTATCAACAAGTTTTAAGGCCTACCATCAGATTATTATGTGCTAACTACCTGCTGTTTAAGAAAATAACTGCAAAGGTTATAAGGTACCTGCTGCAGCACTTCATTCTCAGCCATGGTTTTTTTGGCTGCTTCCGTAGTGTTGTTTACTTCCAATTCCAGAGCTGCTTGAGTTGCCATCCCTTTTGCCAACTGAGTAAGAAGGGTAACAGTACGTCTCAATACACTGGTGAAGAAACACAGTGAAGAGCATGATAAGTCACAGCACAAATTAAAAAGAAAAAAGAAAAGGCAACACAAAACCCTTTTCTCTAGCTTCATACTAGACGGGAAGCAAAAACACAAAGGACTGCTTCCCTTTAAGCGCTTAAACAACCAGGCTCACCAATGACAAATAATAGTAAAGTAAGAAGTTGAAAAGATTTTCATTCATCAAAAATTGGAGCCCCAGCTCTGACTTACCTCCTGCAGAAGAAAAATTCACAATCATTCACAAGCCAGAGACCTGCTTTGCTTAAAGAATGAAATACACTTAAACGACTTAGTGTTTTAAGGATGATGGATCAAGATGGGCAAGATCCAAGCAACAGTGTTATGATAATAAGTATGAAAGAAAAACTTTTATTAAAGGCTTGACGAGGATAAAATTAGCAATATGAACCTATTAATCCTCAAAGTATTCTGTTGATACTGTATAAATCAGAATACACATGAACATTAGCACTCACACAGCACCTCAAATCCAAGCTTTGCAAATATCTTCCTTGGTTTGAACTTACGATTGCCTCTTTGCATCACTACTTCCATACATTATCTTGGAGTCTTTCACAATGATAATGCTGCTGAATCAAGGAAAGGCCAAGGCAGTAGTGAATTAAATTAACTCCTATAATATAGTTATACAGCTGTTCTTCAAAGGAAATTTGAAAATCCAAGTAATTGTCCTTTACATAACTGAAAGGGCATTAAGAGAACCTGTTAACTTCCCCAGTAAGCTGAAAAGGCACCATCCCTGCTTATTGAAAGCTCATTTTCACACTCTTTTGGTTTTGATTTAAAAAAAAAAAAGTTAGGGTCCCCATGCCCATATTCTTCCAAGGGGCAGTATGTTTTACTATTGCTTATTAGCTTATATAGGAAGAAGACAGATTAAATAACAGGAGTCAACAAAACATCACTACTAAGATAGAACCATGGAATCAGCAGAACCACAGAACCACGTACGTCGGAACAACTTCAGCAAGTCACCCAGCCCAGTCTTCTGCCCAAAGCAGGGCCAGGTAGAGCAAGCTGCTCAGGGGCTTGTCCAGCTGCGTTACCATCATCTGATGGAGATTCCACAGTCTCTCAAGGTCCCTGTTCCAATGTTTGACCACTCTTGTGGTTAAAAAGTATTTTTCTTCTATCAAAATTTCCCCAGGTTTCAGCTTGGGCCTGTTGCCTCTTGTCCTTTCACTGTGCACCCCTGAAAAGAGTTGGCTCCATCTTCTCTACACCCTCCCACTAGGTAGCTTTATAAAGTAGTAAGATCCTCCCTTTGCCTTCTCTTCTTAAAGTGGAAGCCCAGCTCCCTCGGCCTCTCCTCATATGTGATGTGCTCCAGCCCCTAATCCTTCTGATGCCCCTTTGCATCCATCACTCCAGTAGGTCATTATCTACCTTGTATTGGGGAGCCAAAAATCAGACACAGCCTGCAGGTGCAGTCTGACAGGTGTCAAACAGAGGGGGAACACTGGCTGGCCACGCTCTTGCTACTACAGCCCAATACAGGGCCGGCCTTCTTTGCTGCAAGAGTGCATTGCTGCCTCACGTTCAATTTGCTGTTCACCAGGCCCCTCAAGGTGCAGTCTGACAGGTGTCAAACAGAGGGGGAACACTGGCTGGCCACGCTCTTGCTACTACAGCCCAATACAGGGCCGGCCTTCTTTGCTGCAAGAGTGCATTGCTGCCTCACGTTCAATTTGCTGTTCACCAGGCCCCTCAGGTCCTTTTCTGCAAAGCTGCTTTCTACACAGCCAGTCAGCGCCCAGCCTGTACTGCTGTACAGGGTTATTTTATCGGACGTAGGGCTTTGCATTTGCCTTCGTTGAACTTCAAAAGGTTTCCTTCAGAGCATCTCTCCAGCCTGTCCAGCTTCCTCTGAATAGCAGCCCCACCCTCCAAATACACTTAAACGACTTAGTGTTTTAAGGATGATGGATCAAGATGGGCAAGATCCAAGCAACAGTGTTATGATAATAAGTATGAAAGAAAAACTTTTATTAAAGGCTTGACGAGGATAAAATTAGCAATATGAACCTATTAATCCTCAAAGTATTCTGTTGATACTGTATAAATCAGAATACACATGAACATTAGCACTCACACAGCACCTCAAATCCAAGCTTTGCAAATATCTTCCTTGGTTTGAACTTACGATTGCCTCTTTGCATCACTACTTCCATACATTATCTTGGAGTCTTTCACAATGATAATGCTGCTGAATCAAGGAAAGGCCAAGGCAGTAGTGAATTAAATTAACTCCTATAATATAGTTATACAGCTGTTCTTCAAAGGAAATTTGAAAATCCAAGTAATTGTCCTTTACATAACTGAAAGGGCATTAAGAGAACCTGTTAACTTCCCCAGTAAGCTGAAAAGGCACCATCCCTGCTTATTGAAAGCTCATTTTCACACTCTTTTGGTTTTGATTTAAAAAAAAAAAAGTTAGGGTCCCCATGCCCATATTCTTCCAAGGGGCAGTATGTTTTACTATTGCTTATTAGCTTATATAGGAAGAAGACAGATTAAATAACAGGAGTCAACAAAACATCACTACTAAGATAGAACCATGGAATCAGCAGAACCACAGAACCACGTACGTCGGAACAACTTCAGCAAGTCACCCAGCCCAGTCTTCTGCCCAAAGCAGGGCCAGGTAGAGCAAGCTGCTCAGGGGCTTGTCCACCTGCGTTACCATCATCTGATGGAGATTCCACAGTCTCTCAAGGTCCCTGTTCCAATGTTTGACCACTCTTGTGGTTAAAAAGTATTTTTCTTCTATCAAAATTTCCCCAGGTTTCAGCTTGGGCCTGTTGCCTCTTGTCCTTTCACTGTGCACCCCTGAAAAGAGTTGGCTCCATCTTCTCTACACCCTCCCACTAGGTAGCTTTATAAAGTAGTAAGATCCTCCCTTTGCCTTCTCTTCTTAAAGTGGAAGCCCAGCTCCCTCGGCCTCTCCTCATATGTGATGTGCTCCAGCCCCTAATCCTTCTGATGCCCCTTTGCATCCATCACTCCAGTAGGTCATTATCTACCTTGTATTGGGGAGCCAAAAATCAGACACAGCCTGCAGGTGCAGTCTGACAGGTGTCACACAGAGGGGGAACACTGGCTGGCCACGCTCTTGCTACTACAGCCCAATACAGGGCCGGCCTTCTTTGCTGCAAGAGTGCATTGCTGCCTCACGTTCAATTTGCTGTTCACCAGGCCCCTCGGGTCCTTTTCTGCAAAGCTGCTTTCTACACAGCCAGTCAGCGCCCAGCCTGTACTGCTGTACAGGGTTATTTTATCAGACGTAGGGCTTTGCATTTGCCTTCGTTGAACTTCAAAAGGTTTCCTTCAGAGCATCTCTCCAGCCTGTCCAGCTTCCTCTGAATAGCAGCCCCACCCTCCAGGATACTGACCGCTCTCCCCAGTTTCGTATAGTCTGCAAACCTGCTGAGAGCACACTCCATCCCTTCATCCAGGTTGTTAATAAAGACGTTAAGCAGTATTGGCCCCACTGTCAATCCCCAAGGGATGCCAGCTGGACTTTGAGCTAGTAATTACCTTGAAACACAAAGGTCCAGGCAATTTTCCACCCACTTTATTGTCCGCGTCTCCAGTCCATCTCTCTCCACAATCTGGCTATCAGAATACTGTGAGGAACTACGTCAAAGACCTTACTGAAGTCAAGGCACACAACACTCACTGCTCTCCCCTTATCCACACAGCCAGTCAACTCATTGCAGAAGGCAATAGGATTGATCTGTCCATTGATGATCTGTCCTCAGCAAAACTGTGCTGGCTGTTCCCAGTCACTTTGTCCTTCATGTCCTTGGAAACAGCTTTGAGGAAGATTTGTTCCACAACCTTTCCAGGGACTGCGGTGAGGCCGACTGGTCTGTAGTTCCCTGCAATCCTCCTTGTCTCTCTTGAAGAGGGGTGTGACGTTTACCTTTTTCCAATCATAAGGAACCTCCTCCCATCACCATGGTCGCTCAAAGATGACAGAGCATGGCTTTGCAATGACACTGGCCAGCTCCCTCCACATGCTAGGATGCATCCCATCTGGTCGCACAGAGTTGTGTACATCCAATTTGTTTAAGAGGTCCTTAGCAGCATCTTCCTCTACTGTGGGTTTGTTCCATTCCCACAGACCCTTCTAGAAGGCTCAGAGAATCGGGAAGCCAGATGACAGACCTTACCAGTGAAAACCAAGGCAAGGCTGGTACTGAGATACTCAGCGCCTCAGCCTTTTCCATATCCTTTATCATTTAATCCCCTGCCCCACTGAGCACTGGGCCCACGTTTTCTCTAGCCTTTCTTTTATTCTCAGCCCTACTCAACATCCTTCACATCCCTCTCCGGTTCCACCTCTAGCTGAGCTTCGTCTTTCCTACCACTATCCTTGTATGCTCCAGCAACATCTCTGTATTCTTCCTGAGCGGTCCATCTTCATTTTTGCCTTTTGTGTGCTTCTTTTTTGTGTCTTAGCCCAGTCAGTAGATGCCTGTTCATCCACGCTGGCCTTTTGCTTGATTTCACGCACACTGAAATGGAGTATTCCTGTGTTCTGAGGAAGTCATCCTTGAAAGTTAAGCAGCCCTCCTGGGCCTTTATCTTCCACGGCCGTCTCCCATTGGATCCTGCTGAGAAGACATCTGAACAAGCTGAAACCTGCGCTCCCGAAATCCAGGGACGTCACACTACTATTTTAATTTTTCAGCTCTTTCAGCGTTTTAAACTCCACAGTCTCACGATCACTGCAGCCATAGCTGCCCTTGACCTTCACATCTTCAACTCATTTTTCATTTTTTGTTAACAACAGGCCAGCAAAGCATCTCCCCTAGTTGGGGGATCAGTCACCTGTGTTAAGAAACTGCCTTTACCACACTGCAGAAATCTCCTGGATCGCTTGTACCCAGACCTACTGACCCTCTAGCAGATATCAGGGGGGTTGGAAGTCTTCTCCTCCCTGAGGACCAAGGCCTGCAATCATGAGACTTCTTCCAGCTGTTTAAAGAACGCCTGATCAAGAGGAAGTAGATAAAACAGTCTATAACAGGCACCTACCACAACACTCCCTGTGTAGGCCTGTCCTCTGTTCCTTACCAATAAGCTTTTGACTGGCTTGT